CCAGTGATCGTTATTCAAGCCAAAGAAACTGCATCTATTTATATAAATACACATGGACAGAGAATATTTTCTTGGAGCACTAAATGTGACAATTGCCCTACTGTCTGTGATAAATATACCACACCAGCTACATAGTGCCCGACGAGGAGTTGGGTAGGTAGTGAAGAAAAACATTGACTGAAGCCTGGCAGAGGACTGAATTGTTGTCAACAGCAACAAACATACTGGGAAAGTCAAAGACAGTGAAAAAACAAACAAACAAAAAACACACAGGCATATAAATACTAACTTTCTAGGATCTTTATTGACTCCAAGTAATCCAGAGTAGAACGAGATGAATCAACGCTATACTCCGCCATCTTTATTTTAATATTAGATGCAACCATTATTCTGTAGGGGACAACGGGTCATAACTTGAGGGGAGTTAACACCCATGATTTTTAAAATGCCTTGATCAATAAGAGTCTAAGTTACAGGGAACATTATTTTCATTTTTCAGTGGACCAATAAATGCATTTGACAGGAAAATAGAAAAACTCTACCACAACAGCAATTAGAACAGCTTGCTGCATTATAAGTATCACTTCCCTGTCAAATTAGTGGTTCATGCTTATTTGAATCTGAACATAACAGGCCAATTCTATCACACCTTGCTAGGCTTGAACTTCCATCCAATCAGAGCATTCCAAATGAACATGATTCTCCACAAAACTAGAGGGCGCTCTGACCAAAAAATTGCCATGATCTAAATAAAAAGAACTGATATATATATATATATTTAGTTGTGCTGTAAGGGCCTTGTACAAAACCTTGTGAAAATTATACATGGAGTATAATCCAAGGACTAATATTCTCGTGTAGCTGATTTGAATAAGCTAGGTAGAAGTCGCTCACATGTCTTTATTTATTTATTTATTTATTAGTTATCTATGTGATTTCATTCCTTCAACGACTCAACACTCACTATTAAAATATTCTAAACATTAGACAAGTTGTGTTGGCACCATCATGACTTCATATTAGATTGTAAGTCTCACTGTTTATTAGGTTATATTCTAATACAAATAAGATTATCCATTATCGTTCAATCAATGCTCACTTTTTCAATGTGTTGTACTGAATTTCAATACACAACAGATTCTGTTCGTAGTCTGTTTCATTACGTGGTTAATCAAAACTATTTTGATGAATAACTTAAAATATATTCAGTGAATGTAAAAAATGCAGAATCTAAGTATAACTTGGTATTTACATTTATTTTATATTTTAGCATTTTTTATTTTTAATTTCTATTAATTTCCCCCAAACCCAATGAGTCACCTCAAGCAAAAAGTTGGTTTCCATAGAAACATGCCTATCTGCATATGCAATCAGCTGCGAGAAATAGATGCAAAGATGAAAATGAATCTAAAGCATCATCGAGAATTAGAGAGGTCGTATGTGGTTAACTTCATTAGGAATTTACATGTTTAACTAATTGGCGTCGTAGAAATTACTTCCTTTCATATTCACACCTTGTACTGAATGGTAATAAACTAATTTATCTGCTGCTTGATGGTTGTATCATGATAGTTGTATTGAATATATCACAGAGTATTATTTTCTAGTGAATGAATGTCTCCAGTGAGTATTTTTTCTCTGTAAAATACAGGCCTAGGGCTCCCCTTTCTAATACAGCCAACTCGGCTTGATATATGATGATCGAAACGAAATGCATCATGCGTGCCTACATGTTGTTTCATTTCTTGATTGATCATTTAGTGTACCTATAAAGCATTTTATACAGGTATATTGTTGGCTAGGAACATTGGGTGCGACGACTGATTTTAATCAATCAAATAATAGCTCGATCGATCATTAAATAATTATTGATTGTATTGCCAACTTAATTTATTTATTTATACATTCATATAATTTAATGTGTGTTATCCGAATAGGTTTATATTGACCAATCACGATGGTGAATATCAGGACTATGTTTAACTAATGTCCCGTTGAACCACCACAAATATGACCTTTGCATAAAATCTTAGACAGGCAGCATTTACCTCCATTCTCATAAGAAATATATTTGTATTTTTCTATTATTTCGTTGGTCCATGGGTTCTCTCCGTCAAAATAGTCTTAAAATGTTGCTTTGATTTTACTCATTAATCATGTAAACTTATTACAATGTCACAACAAGAGATTTGATGGCCGAAATAGCTACGCTGATCTACAGGAACATTATGGTAGCCAAGTCGAACAACGCACACCCATAAGAATTTTTCTGGAAAATTTGAAGTATCAAAGCAATTGAGCTGGCAGTTTTCAAGAAGTCGAAAATACCATTTTTCGCCAAAAATTGAGGAATTAAAGATATCACCACGGACACGAACAAATCTGACAGAGGTCCACCAAAGGTACCCACATACCAAGTATAAAAGCAATTGAGATAGTAGTTTTCAAGAAGTAAAAAATAATTATTTTTACCAAAAATGAACAAATATTCGCCAAAAATAGCGGATTAAAGATATTGCCACGAAATGAACAAATCTGACAGAGGTCCACACAAAGTACCTACATACCAAGTGTCAAACAAATGAGCTGGTAGTTTTCAAGAAGTCGAAAAAAACACACCTTTCACCAAAAATTGAGGAATTAAAGATATCATCACGACATGAATAAATCTGACAGAGGTCCACCAAAGTCAAAAATAGCATTTTTTACCAAAAATTAACAAAATATTTCCAAAAAATAGCGAATTAAAGATATCACCAAGAAATGAACAAATCTGACAGAGGTCCACGCAAGGTACCTACATACCAAGTATAAAAGCAATTGAGCTGATAGTTTTCAAGAAGAAGTTGAAAATGCAATTGTTGACAGACGACGACGGACAATCACCTATATGAACAGCTCCGTTCTAACATTTTAAGAAAACAGCGGAACTAAACAAAATCAGCTATCACATGTTCGTCTCCGTGGCAACCTTCATTTGATACAGTGCCTACGTAGACGTACGACTGTAATCCACGATTCGGAAAATTTGCATATTTAAATTAACATCGTACTATATGCATCACCCGTAGAAATCACGGTTACGGGGTTTAGTGAAACCACTGTCACATGTCAATTCATTCATCAATAAAATACGTATATGCAAACAAGTCATCTTTCACGTGAACGTTTTAATGAAGATCTCGAACTTAGTAAATTTAAAATTTAGAAAGTGTGTGTATGTGTCATAACAGTGACGCACGGGGGTTTGTAGATCGATGAAAGTCACGTCAATTACCCACCCTAGTAGCCGAATGTAAAATTCAAATTCCTAAATCATAGAATCATATGGTTGGGTTCACACCAAGGTCACGATGAATGTCACGGCGAGGGCAGTGGACTGGGTGAGTGGCAATGCTATCAAGATGCAAATAAGATAATAAGAAAAAAAATGTTTATTTGAAAAAAAAAATATCAACCTCGCAAATTCAATAATATAGGGTTTTAGTTTAGCTAGAGAACTGTATATACGTCGACAATATGTG